TTTTGGAGAGGGGAAATTTTACTGGAATAAGTTTGAATAAGAAATTAAGTAAATACTTTGAGGAAGAATAGTTAAAATATATATATAAAAAAAAAAAAGAAAGTTTCTGTTTAAACTAACACCAGGAGGAATAAAGAATATGAGAATCTATTTTGAAATTCTTCTTTGTCACTTGTTTCCTTCTTTCAGTGTCATGTCTGGTGCATGCTTGGGTGATCATGTCTCTTTTCAATTCATATACTTATGCATATAAGATTCTACTGGATTTAAAGTAGGGGGTCGGTTTCCTAGTCATTAAATATTAAAAAGATCACCTCAGAATTACTACATATTGATATCTTTCCTTAGATGACGTGTGGTGCATGCTTGGGTGATCATGTCTCTTTTTAAATCATTATTGATTTGACAGAGTTTAAACAGACACGAGGAGGATATAGATTGAGTTGAAATGAAGTGGCTTTAAAGTGGGTATTTGATTTACAAATATATATATATATATATAAAATTCATTATCAGTTAAACAACTTTTGTGTTATTAAGACCAAAAGCAATAGAGACTTTTATAGTCTAGACTGCTTTTGGATTTCTCTCTCTCTATATATATATATATATATATATATATATATATATATATAAAGTGGACACTGAGGTTAGCACCCAGCAGCAACAGACAATCTGTTTCATGCTTGAATGCAGTCTTCAGGCCATAAGTGTCGTTGTGTTTTGGCTTAATTATTTATATATGCTGATCAATAGTGCATTGTAGGTAGCAAGGTCTATTGTATTGTAATGATAATACATTAAATTATATAATGTTAAATATATCAATAGGTGTTATATAACCTTCAAGTAGAATTCCGTAATTTTAATGTCATTTTTTTCTTTACTTTCAGCTTTGGCATTGACAAAAGTACAAAATATGGTAAACTTTGACAAGAACAGATTCACTGGCAAATATATTTTAACTTCAAATCTTTGAAAGAGGAAAACAACAAAGAGGAACTTATGATTATAGAATTGTCCCAAAATACAGATGCTTATATAAATATATTAAGAGATGGAAAAATTGGGTAAAAATCTCAACTGTAAGGTTAATGGATGTTCAGATAAGAAAAAAAAGGTTTTTAATTGTAATGTATGTATGAAAGAATTACCTGTGAAATCCGAACTCATTAACCACATGAAAACTCACACGGAGGATAAACCCTTCCAGTGTGAGCTATGTGGGTCCAAATTTTTACATAATTCAAGTTTGTGTAGACATATGCGAATACACACCAAAGAAAGACCTTTCAACTGTGAAATTTGTGGAGCAGCATTTTCACAAAAATCAAATTTGCACACACACATGCGAACACACACAGGGGAAAAACCCTTCCCATGTGAAATTTGTAGAGCAAGTTTTTCTCAGATTTCTAGTTTGAACAAACATATTCAAAAACACACTGGAGAAAAACCCTTCCTCTGTGAGGTTTGTGGAACCAATTTTTCTCGTAATTCAAGTTTAAACAGACATATACGAAAACACACAGGAGAAAAACCCTTTCAGTGTGAATTTTGTGATGCAAAATTTACAGAAAATTCAGGTTTGCGACGACATGTGCGAGTACACACAGGAGAAAAACCCTTTCATTGTGATGTTTGTGGATCAAATTTTTCGCTGAATGCTAGTTTGGCATCTCATATGAGGATACACACTGGAGAAAAACCTTATGGCTGTGAAATATGCGGGTCAAGATTTTCAGACTCTTCTAATTTAAGAAAACATGTTCAAATACACAGTAATTGACAAACACTTTGAAATTTGATGGGAAAAATTGTCTTAAAAATCTACAAACATGAGAAAAATCTTTTTATTACTAAAATAAGTGCCTACTTTTGAATTTCTATTGTGTGTAATTCAAAGTAATTGAATTGTAATATTGAAACCATGCAATACTATTATGTACTGAGAAATGATAAAACATTTACCATTCTCCAATTGAAAAATTCTTTTTTTTTTTAACTTGATGACAATGAAATAATAGGTGATAAATACAGGTTGATCATCATTAATCTGGCACTAATTTCCATGAAAGAATTTTAATATTTCCCAGCATGCCACATGGGCCTGCTATTACTGTTTGGTGGTTCTAGCAGCTACAGCCATAGCTGTTTTTATGCACTTTCACACACTGGGAAGGCATTTCTACTTGTCTTTTGTACGCATTAACCTGCTGGGGTTTAGCTACAGTTAAAATAGAAAGTGCTTCTTGTGGTATGTGATCATATTTTTTCCATAACAGATAAGGTGGGAATTGTGAAAAAACTTGATAGCACTGTGTTTGTGCCTATCTTGTGTGATTTCTACAAACTTATCTATAGTTCATGACAGAGAAAAATTGCTCCAGTGCTTTGTTGAGAAACATTGTTATTATTTATCAGGCATCTATGTACCAGATTAGTGATAGTTAACATGCTCTGATTTACTGTGTATTTTAAAGGAAGGATGAAATGGTTAACTGTTGGGTTAAGTTTTTTTCTAACATAACCATTGGTAATCCAGTATTACAAACTAATCATCTGTTGATATTTAGCACCAGTCATAAGTCTAATGAATAAAGAAGTGCTTCTTGTGGTTTGAAGTGCAAACCCTTTCTGCAGTATTGACTCCTCTACAGTTCAAGACATAAACAGCGAATAAAGTAACCATCAGTAATCTGATAAAATCACATCCAACAACCTGCAAGTCCTACTGTTGCTGGGTTAGTGATGTTCAACCTGTATCAATCTGGATCATTCTATTAGAATTATGGCAGGGAATCTTGTGGAATATGGACAGTGATGGCCATATTATACTGTTCATACTCAACTTCATCATCATACCATGATTTTTTTTTTTTTACCAATTTTTAAAATTTTTTATGTCTCTTCTCAGTGACAAAATCATTTCCCATCATAATATTCTAAAGGATCACTTCGTTGTGGTGTAATGGTTAGCAAGCTTGTCTTGCTAAAACAGTTACAACTGAATAGTGAGTTCATTCCTCACTAGGTACCCCATACTTTCGACCTTGTGTCATATCTAAGCTACGCTTAGAAAATCACAATAATATAAAGTTGATTTGAATAAATGTTTGAACATTATTAATAAAATGGATCACATTTTCATTTTAGCTGGGTTTTTTTATTCTTTTTGCTGGGACATCATTAATGGGGGTGTTTATAAGAAATATGTCACTGCTTTCTGTCTGAATTTCTGGGCTTACAACCATATAGCATTGAAACACTGGTTCCTGTGTCACCACTAAAGTTAAGTAACACTGAAATTGTCAGTATCTAGACCAGTTGGAAATACCAGGTGCTCTTAGCTGGGATGTGCAAGAGTTATGGCTTACAGTTCTTGGAGTTGATCACCAGTTAAGCAACATTGATCCTGGTTAGTATCTAGATAGGTGACCAATTGGGAATGCCAGGTGCTGTTACCTGGGATGTGTGGCCAAAAATTTCTTACAATTCAAAAACATGTTTTGTCTTTAAATAACTTGCAATGGGTTAATAAGGCATAAAAAACAAATCAATCTTATTAATAGAAAAAAACACTGAAAAAATTTATAATGTAATTGTTGTAACCTAGGAAAGGTTACTGAATGAGGAATAACCAAAACAGAGGTTGGAAATGAAATGGTAATCTTTATAACATCAATAAAATACAATATTCACCATCAGTGTGAAGTAGGTAAACCAGTGAAGTAGGTAAACCAGTGCTAGTGGTGGACTACTTAGACAGCATATTATCCCCACTTAACAATAGTGTCCAATATATGAGGATTGGGACAAACCCATTAGTATTCATAAGTATGGTATATAACAGTAATACATATGTAAATGAGAATAAATGCATCCACAGTATAATGTGTACATATTACAATGTAATAAATGCATTCATATCGCAAGCTAAAAGATACACAGGGACAAATAATGTGTTCAAATGATAGCTGCATACATGAAGGAATATAAAGCATACACAAGACAATGTACCAAATACTGTCAGATATTGCTTTAGAATAGTATTTTGACTGCTGGATTTATGACTTTAATCTTTGCACTAGGCTTTTGTACCAAACATGAGTGCCAACTTGAATAGTGGTGTTGATTGGAATTTTCCAACTTACAGAGTGTCTGCAAAAAATTGGCATCATTTAAAATGTGAATATCTGAGTAACTACATGTCCCAGGTAAGCAAAATTAAACAGGCTTCATGTTGAACAAAAAAATATTTCTTTATCAAAATTCTAACAAGATATTCAAAGGAATGTAGATTTTATAACTGATTTCACAAATGCTCAATATGCACACTACCTGTGATACGACAGATGTCAAGTCGGTAGTCCAGCTCCTGCCAAATGCGCTGTAGCATGTCTTGCATAACATTCTTCAGTACCTTAGTTATTCTCTACTTAATTTCCTCTCAGCTTATAGGAAGAGGTGGGATATAGATCTGTCCTTTCACATAGCCTTATAATAAAAAATCACAAGGGGTCAAGTGGTGGCCATTTCAACAGTATATTGTCATGATCAAAGGCACATCTGATCCATCTCCCAAGTAGATTCTCACTGAGACACTTGTAATTGTTACATAAGAGGAATGGGAAGGGACTAAACATGTATAAGAAAATGACAACAGCAATGACTGCCCAAACACTGCTTGACAAAAAAAAAAAAGTTCAGTGGATGCACAACAGGCTATTGTTACTAAGATTGATCTGCTTTCTACGGTTATCAACCGTTTTGCAGGTTATTTAAAGCTAGAAAATAGCTTTTTTTTCGGAGATAATAATGATTTTCAGATGCAAGTCTTATTAATTAACCCATAGCTGGAGGGGAGAAGAGGTGGATTCATACCATTCCCAAGAATATTTGCACATAAGTGAATATAACGAACCCAATGGGAATTAGAACTCGTCTCTTCAATTATCAATCCTGAGCCATTATCCATTACACCACCCACACATCCAAATTTACAGCACCTGGTATTCCCAAACGGTCACCCACCTAGGTACTGCCCAGGCTCAACGTTGCTTAATTTCAGTGATCGTACAGAGACTTGGCTCCCAGTTAATAATTTCAAGCCATTATCCATCACACCACCCGCACATCCAAGCTTACAGCACCCGGTATTCCCAAGCGATCACTCATCTCGCTACTGGCCAGGCGCGACATTGCTTATAGAGAGGAATGTAGTGGTATCTATATATATAAAGTTGTAGCCTCTGTCTCTCTGTTATCAAACTCTTTCTAAGGTTTTGGAGATAGACCACCATAACCATATATATTCTGAAACTAGATTACCCAGGGTACTTGGATAAGTATATTTCATTTTAATTAAAGGGCGTCTACCAGGGATACCCCCCCACAACTGAATTTTTTCCCCTTTGATATAATTTAAATTTGAACAAGGGAACGACTCCTATCCAAAATAAAGGAGAAAGCCAGAAGATGGAGGTTACATCAGCAAGATCAAAATGGGATAATATGGACGTCAAGTTGAGCAAGAAATCACCAATCAGTAGATAGTGTCTTACAATACATATTTGTTGTAACAATTCAACTGTCATATCAATGTTGAAATCTGCTCATCAATTCATTCAAACAACTATTGCATCAAATACATATCAAAGGGGTCAGATAAAGCTGTTTTTGCGCCCTATCACTGAAAATATTTCCCTTTTGATTTTAATTAAATTTAAGTTTTAACAAGAGAATGACTCCTTTCCAAAATATAGAAGAAAAAAAACAGAAGATGGAGGTCACATCAGCAAGATCGTTGAGTAATATTGAAATACATCATTTTTCTCCACAAATTATAACAATGATTTAAAATCATCATCATTTTCTTACAAAAAATGTATGACACGCAGCAAGGCGCGGGTAATTTGTCTAGTGTTCAATAAAATAATGAAACATTTCCATTAAACACTATTTACATTATTCGGACTATTGTCCTCACCTTTGTCGCCATATTTATTACAACGTTTCGGCTGTTGTACGTGCCGGCCTTCTTCAGGTGGTTGGAATGTCGAACTGAACCCTTTATTTCGCTCACAGGTGTAGACTGTTCTAGTTCCACGTGCCATATCTAATGGATGTCAGTTATCAGTTATCTCCTGTTAATTCCAATCTCCAAGTTCTCCACTGCCTTAATCGGGTATTGAACTCACACTGTTTGGGTCCTGTCACTGGATCTAACTAACGCATTTATCCACTGTGCCATGTGTCCTTGAGGACACATGGCACATAGTGTACATAATACCTCATCTCAGAAATATAGACAGATTTCCATTAAAATCTACACATTCAGTTAAAAAAAATAAAATAAAAAGTATCTTTGATAATGGTTAATAATAGAATAGCCAAAAGCGCTCGAAGATACAGAACATTTGGACAATTTTTACACACTTTATGTCCAGAAAAAGCTTGTATAAAAGAGGGATTGATGCCCATATATATATATATATATATATATATATATATATATATATATATATATATATAAATAGTCTTAAGATGTGCTATATTTATGGGATAAAGTGCTCGATATCAGAGGTAGAGCGTGTGTAAATATAAAAGTGAACATAGAAGTCAACACTTAGAGGCGACAGTGTGTTTCATGCTAGATACAGTCCTTGCATCTAACATGAAACAGACTGTCGCCTCTAAGTGTTGACTTATGTTCATTTTTTTTTTATATATATATATATATATATATATATATATATATATATATATATATATATATATATTGTAGAAGGAAATATGGCTTTGCCTCCTGGAACAAAAAAAAAAAAGTACGTGTCTGGCGTGCAAGATAGTTGGAAGAAAACATGGCCGACCCAAAAGCTACAATTTAAGAAAAACCTGATCTTGTAGCGTTTAGAATGATCGAGACGAATTGGTGGCTTATGTACTCTAAAAAAATGAGCATGAGGGAAATAAAAGGGGATGGGCTGTGTGTGGAGTTTCGCTGTTGTCCCACTGATTGTGATAGAAAAAAAAGAAAAAGAAAAGGAAGGAAGGTAGGTAAGTACGGGTATCCCAAACAGACATAACTTTTTGCAACATATATAATTTTTGATGATTTCGTCTTAAGGAATAAAACCAAATATTAAAATATTTTTTTAAAAATGAGGCCTCGAGGGTGTGTGGCCTTATGCTTTAGCTTATAAGTCCAACACCGGGCGTTGATTGGGTAGCAACTGTTTGACATTCCCGCCAATTTCAAGAACTCTAACGCTCACTTTCTCCGACAAGCTTTCTCTGCGTGAGAGGTTGGTTTTTTGATCCGTTAAGAAAATTTGACCAGCAAACATACGCCTCATTCCCACCAAGCACAGATAGCAGACAGGGCAAACAACGATTAACGAAACTGCTTTTTTTTTTTTCATGGGACAACCGACAAATATACAACATCTTTTTTTTTCTCTTTAATCTCCCTTCCCGCCTGAATTGTAAATATGCAAATTACTTAGAATTTTTATAGAGTGCATGCATTCTATAGGCTTAGCAGGGTGAAGCCTAGGGGCTCAGAATCTAAGGAGTCTTCAGACTATATTTATTCACCCCCCCACGTGGGAATCATGTGGCACAGGGCCGGTTTAACGTGGGATCTTCAGACAAGGCGTATATTTTCGTCACTGTCATAGGCTTCTCTTACACATGCTGTCATAATGCATTGTAGACTTGTAGAGGACCGTGGCTGTGATGTTGTTGAGTAGACGTAGAAGAACACATGTGGGTTAAGATTTTCCTGCTAGCCGGTCCAACTACATGAGAAAGTTGGACTTTAATTAAGTCCAAAGAAGGCAAAGAAAAACAAACACAAGACCGATAAATATATGTAAACAAATATATGTATTAATAACAAGGTTACAAGTTACATGGACAGTTACATTGACAGTGTGTGTGTGGTGAATATTATATGTATGTGTTGTGGTGAGTGTTCGTACGTACGTGTATTGTTCTTAGCGTGTTCCCAGCATTTGGGAAACGCTGTATCTGTGAGCGTTCACATCTGCGAGTTGGTATAAAGCCGAACGCCTGAGGAAAAAAGAGGAAGAGGCGAAGGGTCAGTGAGTATTTATAGCCAGGGGAGAGAGACCCCTGTTGAAAGGTAAGGAGCTAAGGAGGAGCTAACTCCGACAGACTCTAAACAACCCTTCAGTAATTTTCCTTACATTCCATTTTAAAATAATTCTGTCTTAAGCCAATAACTCGATGCTCGCATTGATTTCTTCATAAATTATTTCAATTTTAACAATCATACATTTTTTATACTGTGGAATCTTCCACAACAAGCCAGTTAACCCCTTCTAGAAAATGCACTATTCCTGTTGTAATTTTCACCATCACAATCTTACAAAATATATAACAAGCATCCATTGGTTAATCACCTTCAACCTAGCTTGCTGATTGGCCAGTTCCGACCAATCAAACCACCTGCATGCGACAAATCTGTTTTCCCGCGTTCTCCGTTTGAGCCTCCCACGTTGTACAACAAAATTATAAAAACAAAACACGTGTAAACTCCCTCGTGTTTCTTTTTCTCTCTCGCGCGTCTCATTCCTTGCTACCAAGTACCAAGATGTAATCTTCAAGAACTCCCGTCTTAACCTTTGCAGTCAGACGTTAAAGACCATTATCTACATTCACGCAAGTACGAACTCTAAAATCTCTTCTGAACTTTTACCAACTTGTACAATACACAATTCCAAACATGCTAAAGAAACTTTATTCTTCTAAACTACAGTTTAATAATTACTTTCACTTTATGAACTTAGGTACAAATATTACCTAATCTAAGAGACACAACTCTGTCTAACCTTTTCACTCAGTATTCATGCATGTATATCAAACACTAATAAATTCAATTGTTACGTTTTGAAACAAGATGTTTATGAATCTTTATTCTCTATCTTGTATTAATTGTTGTGAATGGAAGATTATTGAACACACACAATTTTAAGCCTTCAGATAATTCAAACCTTCTATTCATCTCCAACACACATCACACATCCGCAACAATACAATCGCACACTGAATTTAACAATAACATCTTATATTCTTTAGAGCAGGGATCGACAACTTTTGCTAACTATGTGCCGACTTAGGGTTTTAAAACCATTTAGTGTGCCATAATGCATATTTTTATACAAGTCAAGGTCAATATACCTGTTCTACAATATAGTAATATATAGTATATATACTTTAGTATATATAAAAATTGAAACAGTTAAGTATCTTTTTTGCGTTGTAGTAGTTACTGGTTCGGACTTTGTGATGTCATTTGCGGCTGTGTGCCATTGGAAACTGGTTGATATGCCATTGTGGCACGCGTGATGTAGGTTGCTGACCCCTGCTTTAGAGGAGGAATTGTCAACTGTGGAATTTTAAACACCTGTCAGTATCCGCGGATTTAATTTAAGACTTTCCATTTTCCTCTACTCTTGAGAACAGGGCTTCTGGAACACAACTGGAACAGCCTAGGGCATTGCTTTATCTAAATCCGGCCCTATCTCATTACCAGTAAGCATGTATAACAGACGGGGGAAACGACGATTAATGTAACTGCGAAAAGAAACCATCATGAAACGAATAGAAACCATATGGAAACGAAAAGAAACAAAACGGAATCGAAAAGAAACCATAAAGAATCAAATATAAACCATGTTGAAGCGAAAGAAACCAAATGGAATCGAAAAGAAGCCATATGGAAATGAAGAGAAACCATATGGAAACGAAAAGAAACTATATGGAAACGAAAAGAAACCATGTTGAAACGAATAGAAGCCATATTGAAACGAAACGAAATCATATTGAAACGAAAAGAAATCATATGGAAACGAAAAGAAACCATGTGGAAACGAAAAGAAACCGTATTGAAACGAAAAGAAATCATATGGAAACGAAACAAAGCCATATGAAATCGAAAAGAAACCATATGGAATCGAAAAGAAACCATACTGAAACGAAAAGAAATCATATTGAAACGAAAAGAAATCATATGGAAGAGAAAAAAAACCATGTTGAAACGAATAGAAACCA